GTATAATATAATTCAGAATAGTGTGAGGGTTTGGTACCACTGATGCATCATCTTGGATGATTTTGTTAACTGCTCTAAGCACCATCCAGCACACGTTTCGGCCTGTTTTTTTCACAGGGTACATCAGGGTATTAGCTGGTGAACTAATTTTCACCAATATAACCTTTTTCAGCAGGTGTGTAATTTGGTCTCCAATTCTCTTCACTTGAGCCAGTTTCAATGGATACTGTGGTAACCTAGGAATGATAGCATCTGGTTTATGCTTGATCTTTACAGGAAGGCAGTGGATCATAAGTCTCGTGTCACACCCTCTTTAGCCCAAACATTTGGATTTGTGCTTAAATCACTGGGCAAGCACTCTAATATTGGTATTCAGTTCCAATTTACACCACACAGCAATGAGGCTATCCCAGGTTTCTACCATTTGGTGTTGGTCAGGATCAGAAGGGATGCTCACCTCCACTCCATTCTCACAAAATTGTATTTGTGCCCTCATTTGGGGAGAGCAAATATTTTCCTAGCAAATAGCAAGGAAGTGAATCGCTCAAGAGCAGGGAAGCTTCAGTTTGAAAGGGTCCAATTCGAACCTTTGTGGGAGTTGTTTCCAATAGGGGGTATGATATACCCTCTATACCAACTTCCTAAGTTGTATTTTGAATGGGAAGATTCATGTCACTGGATTTTTAGAATGGAATGAGTTGCCCTGGTGTCTACTAAAACAACTTAGGGTCTGAGCACTTGCTTGATCATTTGTCGAGATTACAGGTAACACTGGCAGCTCTCCCCATCACTTAGGGTCTCTTCCAGATTCCTTCCCAGGCCGCGGTGGCCTACTTTGTCTTGGAGCTCCACACTCCCTCTTGAAGTGTTCTGGTCTGTTGCAGTTGAAACAGACAGGTTTCCTTTTTTGTTTTAGGCCAAGATCTACACCGTTCAACTGATCAGCGACAATGCAGATTCTCTGAGGTTTCTGTGACTCCCAATCAGCTATATTTCCTTTCAATAGCAGTTGCAAGTGACAACAAAGAGGAGAGGGGATTTTTTCTCCAGTCTGGATTTGCAGTCATCAATTTTTCCCTGATCTTTCCTCTCAACCCAGCAAAGAAGCTATGTACCAACAAGGGTGATAGGGCACTGTTATTTAGTATTGTCCCCATCAGCAGATTCCACAGCTTTGTATAATGTGATTGTAGTAAGTCATACAATCTCCTTAGGCCCTTGGGTCACTCCAGACACCTTGGTCCCAGACTGGGGTGGATAGACTGTTTTAATCAATTGTGCCAATTGTTTAGTGAGTACACATCCTTGATGGCTGGAGCGAGTCAACATACAGGGTCTGTGGAATATTAGTTTTACTGTGGATTTCATCATAGTCCCCATCTCCACAAACCCTTTTCATTATTTGAAGCATATCACTCCAATTTGCATTGTAGCTTGCCTGGATGTCCAGAAGCTCTTTGGCAAATTTCATGGGATCAGTCCTTGGATGGGGGATAACGCTCAGAAAACGCTATCATCTCAGAAGGAGTCCAAGGTACATGATGTGCCATCTTTATAGTGGATCTCCCACTGTTGTTATAAACTACCTGTTCTCTTACAGGATATACAGATAGGTCATCTGAAAAAGATATCAACTGTTGATTGGTCTTTTGTCACAGAATCCCAGTAAGACTGGTGATGATAGTTGCTGCCAGGTGGGGGCACTTTATCCAACTGCAAAGTTCCCTGAAGGTTGCCATTAACAGTCCCATGGTATACAGGTGTGCCCTCGTTGGGTGTCAGTTCCCTGTTAGTGACACCACACAGGTCCTTGCTGTGGAGTAATAGTCACTTGGGGGGCATAAAGGTATATATAAGCAGTGTACCCAGTAGCAGAACTTCTAGCATTGCACTCAGCAGCATGAATTGCTCTTTAACTGCTCTCTAGGAGAGAATGCTGGCTCGCAGCCAGTAAATGGAGGACAACAGTATTTTGGAGGATCTTCTGTTTCTTTGTTAGAAGGGCAGAAAGTATCCTTCTGACTGTATATGGTCTTTGGTACCAGGACACTTTTCTCCCTTAATGCCAGCATTCCCTTCCCCTGCCTTGCTGTACTGTCTCTCTCTTCTTGTTCCAGTGCCCCACAGAGAGTCTTTCTGTGATTCAATCAGGGTTTTAACTGGGGTGTTAATCTTGGCAGCAAGATGTGGCTTTTCCTTTTTGTCATCTGCTGATAGGTGACAATTCATATCAGCTTTTGAGTATTTTGCTAACAAAGACCGGGGGCGACTGCATAAAGCCACAATCCTGACAATTCCTCATCGTCCCCCTGATCATCACTGTCACTGCTCTGGGGTTTTGGCTCTAGTGGCTGTTCCTGCTCATCTCTACTCCTAAGGGTCATTTGGTGTGTGGTTTGTGTCACACTAAAAACGTTCACATCATCTGCCTTATTCATGGATTCTATCATGCATGCGCTCCAAGCATCTCTTTCACTTGGTCGTATCATCTTTTTACAATGATCATACCAGAGGTCCTCTCAAGTTTTCGGCTCTAAAGTACCTCTTTAGGAAAACTTCATTCCAGTCCATCACTCCCAATCATGAATATATTTTAAAACCTAGGGTCCATATTTACCTATCATCTCTTCCCGCTGGGTTAATTTGGTAGGGTTTACCACACTTAAATGCCCTCCTTGAGTTGATACTGTTACCCATCTTTTCGGATATCAGACCCTGAAATAATTTCACAACCTTAAGCGTTTGTCCCTAACCTTAAGAGGTTGCCCCCAGAGGTAGCTAATCTCTGGCCAGTGATTGGGTTGACAGGTACTGCCCCTGTTGCTGCTTTTCACTACTTGTCAGAACAATACCTTAATTTTTCCCTGTTCTGACTATAGCCCTTCACACACCCTGGGGATTTCCCAAACTTCCTACGAGTTCAAATCCCACCCCGTGGACTTTTGTGAAGTATTCTAAAAGATTGCTTAGAGTAGGACTATTACTTCTATTATCTCAAAAAATATTAAAACAAACTTGGATAATCAAAAATATATGAGTGCTTGGAGTATAGCAGGCAGTTAATTGAGGCACAACTATTTGCAATATGGTTTTTAGCAGTTACAATATAGCTATTGTTCAAAGGTCTAACTACAAGCTTACAAACCCGTTAGTAGATTATGAAGAGGACAGATTTATACACAAGATCATTCCGTGTGATTTAGGTCCACAGGTGCATTTCAATCACAAAGATTGGGAAGAGTCTTGCCCTAATCTCATTCAAGGGTCAACTGGAACTGCTTTTTGGCAGAAAGGCACAGATCCTAAGTTTTCTTTCACTGCCTCATAAGAGTCTAGTCAGAGCCCTTTTCATTCACACTTACACCCTGCTGCAATAGACGCAACCAGTTAGGATGTTTCTTCATACACTCTCAGTACAATTTTATTTCAATTATACTGTTCATACTTAGTCTCATCAAAAGTGTTAGTGCAGACAAAAGGTTAAAAAAAAACAACGTTCGAAGAAGCTTACTTGTTCAGGTGTTCAGACAGTAGAGACAGAGGTGAAAAGATTCAAGGGCAAAATAAAAGCTTACAGTTCTGGAGTTAAAATTGCCTAGCTCAGCTCTGTCTTCCACACAAGAAATACCAATCAGACTTCCTCAGACAGGACACCAAATGTTATGGCAAATTTGCTACGTCACTTATTCCCTTGGTCCTATTTGAGATTATAAACATAATAAGTGATTAACACCTTTTGTCCACGTCAGAATCAGGCCTTCTTGCTTCTCACTCACTAATAAAATTATTAATAACAAACAACCACTGTGCTGAATAAAAAGAAAATAAAAACCTAATTTACTTACACTGAAGAGAAGCTGTTATTAATCATATCAAATATAATGAAATACAAAGGATATGATACTCAAAAAATGATGTTACAGTATAACATACAGTATATTATCAGTACATAGGGAATAATGGTGGTACGTTACGCAGACATCCAGATGCCTGGGCTCAAAGAGAGCAGAAAGAGAGCTATGGCCTGCTTTTATACCCCCTCCAGGTAAAGTCACACCCTTCAATAAATTCCAGTATTTTGCCATTTCTGTTCAATGGGGGGCTCTGTGACTGTGAAAGATATCGGTCAGCTGTAGGTCATCAGATGGAATTTCTGATAAGCCAATGTCCAGCTGAGCATACCACCTTTGAATTCAGTTCCCGCAGGAATATCTATTACAGTACTCCCTAGGAGGTGTTAGGAATGGCAATAAGTCCAGGGCTTATTTCCTTACATCAGCCAGGTGGCCATAATGACATAATAAACCTCTACAGGAAACCTTCAAGGGGGTTTTTGAGCTTACAAAACAGATGGTAAATTGCATATACAGGAAATGTCCACTTTGAACTTCTTGGAAATACAAAAGTTCATAAATAATGGTGACTTATCATTTATGATGTCCTTTGATAAAGTGAAGTTCTTGTATTTTGCAGGAAACCGAGACTTAGACCCCTATCAAAAATTCACAATGTTCATGAAGTTAAAAAATTACTGTAGGCCCAAAATATCGATCACATTTCTCCCTAAAGTTCATTTGTGATCTTATGCCCTCCCTCAATGATTTTGTACCCACCCATGATAGTCCAGAAAGTTCAACCCCCCACCACCACGGCCTCCTCTTCTTTCTTGGAACTCCTTATCTGTTCTGAAGAACGCATCAAAATAGACTTGAGTCTGAGCAAACAAAGAAGTCCTGGTGCCTCCAAGACCTCATATCTAGACCATGAATGCCTGTGCTGCAATGTTTACTTGCCCCTCTACCTTGGAAGGATGGAATTCCAACATCGATGGCGGGATCCTGGTATCTTAGTCCCGCAGCTTGGACTACACTGTGCGATGTTTGCAAAGATTGGATCAGACTGCGAGATGGCAATGTTCAGCATAGTGAAAGATAGTTAAGGAAGCTCTAGTTGTTGCACCTTTGTGTCAAGAGATGGTACGATGGTTGTTGTTTCTTCAGGTGGTAGGGCAGACCTCCAGACAATCATACATAGATACAAAAGAGAAGGAGAATGTCAGTGTGTGGTTACTGGAAGAATTCAAGAGTGAAGCAGCAGTTTAGCCATTAAGGTTTATAAATCATAGGGGTCCTAATGTGGGCAGGTAAAGTGGGATCCCCACAGGATGCAGAGTCTGAGCAACAGCCGGTATTTACCAGAGCCCCTGAAGGTAGGGATGGTCGATGCTGCATGCTATTGCCAGGTCTCAGTCCCTGAGTTTTCCCTACTTGCTCACAGGGCTCAGGTTGCAGCTGTAGGCAGATTGAGGGATATCTGCAGGAAGCAATTATAAGCATGTAGATCCCTGCCAGACTCTTGAAGCTGAGTTAGGCAAGAAGCCTTATAATTCTCAGCTCATTCAATTTCTAGTTTTAAGTTATGCTAAAAAAGTTATATGCTAATGGAGTATACTGGAAGAATATTAAACAATGAAAAAGAAAGAAAGAGGGAAGAGTAGCAAAAGCAAAAACAAAATGATAGAAAAAAAAAGGTACAGATTTAATGCTGCTCCAACTATGACTACAGCAAACCTTCAAGGGGGAGGTTTGAAGTGCCAAAACAGATGGTAAATTGCATAAACGGTCAATGTCCACTTAGGGCTTCTTGAGAATACAAAAGTTCATAAATAATGGTGACTTATCATTTATGATGTCCTTTGATAAAGAGCAGTTCCTGTATTTTGCAGGAACTGAGACTTAGACCCCTATCAAAAGTTCACAATAATGTTCATGAAGGTAAAATTAATTGTAGGCCCAAAATATCCATTACAGATTTTGGCCCATTCTTCCACACAGTCTTCAAATCTTGAAGGTTCTGTGGACCTCTTTGATGAACTCTGATCTTTAGTTCTTTCCATAGATTTTCTGTTGGATTCAAGTCAGGTGATTGGCTGAGCCATTCTAGCAGCTTTATTTTCTTTCTCTGAAACCAAATGAGAGTTTCAAACAGGCCCACAAAATCCAATGACCACCTTCAGGCTTTTAAAGGGCATATTTCCTTATGTCACTTCCTCACTACATATCAGTTTTGGAGGCCCTAAAATGGCAGAACAGTACAAACACCCCCCAAATGACCCCTTTTTTGGAAAGTAGGCACCCCAAGGAATTTGATAAGCGGCACGCTGAATATTTTTGTGATATTTTTTGTCATGGGGTTTTGAAAAAGAAGCAAGTACTGTTAGCAAGTACCTTGGAGGGTCTACTTTCCAAAAAGGGGTCATGGGGGGGGGGGGGAGGGGGGGTGTGTGCTTCTACTATTCTGGCACTTCAGGGCCAAACATTAGAAGCTTATGCCACACACCACCCACTCTTCTAACCACTTGAAGACCAAACCTTTTTCTGATACTTCACTAGAAAATTAAAGTTTTGGAATGGCCCAGCCAGAACTGAATTCGAAGATGATTTGGGTGATCTGAAGAGGGCTGTGCACAGGAGATGCCCCCTCTCAATCTGACAGATTTGAAAGGTTTTTGCAAAGAAGAGTGGGCAAATATTGCCAAGTCAAGATGTGCCATGCTGATAGATTCATACCCAAAAAAACTGAGTGCTGGAATAAAATCAAAAGGTACTTCAACAAAGTATTAGTTTAACGGTGTGCACATCACAGAAAACTGAAATTTTAACAGGGGTGTGTAGACTTTTTATAAACACTGTATATCCAGCGACACCGAAATTATGAAATGTTTGTTGCTTCCGGTTTCTTAGACTGTAGAGATGACTAAAAAAAACAATGATTAAAAAAGCGGTTAAATGCACATATGTAAGCCATTGCACGTTGTAACATCAAGATTGGTATAAATAGCTCCAGGAGTACATATAAAGTACATAAGAAGAATATAATGTATATAACTCATTGGTGTAAATAGCTCCAGCATGTCGCTGGTCAAAAGCCCGCTTCCTCAGGAAGATCTGCTATATATCTCTGTATCTCTATATATATGCTGAATGATCTCTGAAAAAAGATATATAGCAGATCTCCCTGAGGAAGCCACATTAGCTCACTTGGAGAAGGACCATTTCATCAAAAATTTAAGAAAGTATATAATATATGGGCATAAAACATTGCCAATCCTGTCATAATAAATGGCTCTTCAAGCATTAAGGTTTAACTCCAATGGAGTTCCCAAAGGAGGCCAATATAGTTGGTGCATGTATTGTGTCATGGAGCCAAGCAATAATCTGTATCGCTGTCTCATATTTATACACTAACACCCCGGTCACATCAAAGCCGATTTTGAAATCATACGACTTACAGTGAAGTTGCACGATTTCGAAATCGGGTGACCTGCCGATTTCAGTTGCTATTTGCAAGACATCTGACACAGATGTCTATGCAAATCACAAGAAAAGTAGTACATGTACTACTTTAGAAGTCTATGCGGCTCCAACCAAGTCGGAACTGCACAGATATGACTGCTCTAATAGTGGACAATAGGGTGCAACTTGGCATATGATTTGCAAGTCGCATGGCATGCAAATCGCATGCCAAGTCGCACCTGATGTGACCGAGGTGTAAATGCAGGTTGTCAGGATGTGCCCCAGGTGCAAACATGAGAGGGGCGCTGCCAGCCCTGGAAGCCAAATTGAGAGAGAGACAGATGACTGCAGCTGTCACTAGCTGGGATGTTTGGGGTTGGATCTGGCTAAACTGTCACAGACTCACCTGAGTTGTACTCAAACAGGGAGCCGCCGAACTCACATTACCGGCAGCTCAGTGTGACAGTGAGCCCCCTGCTGCACTACCGCTGATCGCAGGGGAGCCAGGATCCGGCCGGGCATTCAATATGCTGCACTGCCTATCTTGCTGCCTTTTTGAAGAGTACTGGCCAGGAACCTGGGGGAATGGCCTACTGACACCAGCCACTACTCTAGTGACTGACACCGTCCACTACTTTACTGACTGACCCAATCCACTGCTTTACTGACTGACCCAATCCACTGCTTTACTGACTGACCCAATCCACTGCTCACTGACACCGTCCACTGCTCTACTGACATTATCCACTGCTTGACTGACACCGTCCACTAATCTACTGATTGACCTTGTCCACTACTCTACTGACACTGTCCACAGCTCTATTGAATGCCACCCTCCACTCCCCTACTGACACCATGCACTGCTCTACTGAATGACACCCTCCACTCCCCTACTGACACTGTCCAGTCCTCTACTGATACCATGGGGGTGGAGGGGGGCAAACTGACTCTTTGCCCGGGGTGAGAGAATGTCTAGTTTCGCCACTAGTCAGGACAAACACACCTGAGTCAGCTCTCAGCTCAGGCCCTATCCTTCACAACAGTCACCATGGCAGCAGCTACCCAACCGCAGAAACGTTTCTGGGCGGGGCCCATCCTCCCAGAGCTCCCTATTGGCTCATCTCCCTATCGGTCACATGCAGTACAGCAGCCCTTCCCGCCCATAAACAACAACGAGCAGATGTGCGCGGATTGGCTGCACGCAGCCGCAGCCGAGAGCGAAGTTCTTGCGTTATTGGTCAGGAGCCCGGTCACTCCAGCAAGCCTGTTCTCCGATCGCATGCGCAGTGTGTGAAGCGGAGGTGCTGCTCCAGAGATTTGGGGTGTCCGTTCTAGTGGTGTCAGCTGGTGTTCGAGTTCACCCCTACTTCTCGGGGTTCGTCCCGGAGCACTGCAAACATGCCGGTAATGAGGGGCTGGGTGGTGCCCGAGGGAGGGGCTCGCGGTTGCTATGTGTGGGGAGTTGATTCAGTACCATCGCCCATTCATCCGGCCTGCTGACATCCCAGGATTGTGTGGCCTATAGCCCAGTGAGCTCAGCATACCCGGCCTGTGTACCAGGGAGCAATGCTGTGCCTTCATTCTTCAATGGAGGGAGAACATCCTCACAGTAGCAGCAGATCTAGCCATCTTATTGTGGGATTTCTATACATTCATCCCTCAGTGATATGAGGGAACTAGACATCGGAAACAATACAGGAGATCTAGGAAAGGTTAACATTGCACTTTCTTCTGTTGACTTAAAGTGTAACTCCACCCAAAACATTTTATTTGGCTTTCGATAGAGGGTGGAATGGTGCAATGTCAAGTCTTTCCTTTCCCAGTGATAACGTTGTCACCAGGATAGGAAGTGAGGATATCTGAAAGTCACGCTAAACCCAAAATCTTTATTATGTTGCAGTTTACCATGACTGCATTAATTTCCTTTTATAAGGCTTTCTTTCTTTTATTTTCTTGCGATCCAGCCTGTAAGTCTGTTGTTTTTCAACAGAACAAGCTTTCCTGCAGATGTAGCAGTTAGGGGGTTGAGACAAATCATATATTACTGATAGGGGTGCTTTCAATGGTAGGCTTGATGCGTTTCTACCCGCCCTCCGGGGCTTGGTCACAGAGGTCATGGCCAGAACGGCTGCTGAGGCCATTCCTTAATATTGGACTCCTGGGGTCAGTTGAGCAGCTCCCATCCCCTCATTTGTACTGGCTGATACTGAAATCGCTTGGCCTCATGCTCCCCTCTCCTCACTTGCCAGTGAGGTAATCCTTTTCCTTCCATCCATAGCTTCAAGCGACGCCATAAGGTATACTTTTGACTGTGTTGCTGTAACTGCTTACAAAGTATTTGCTGGTGCTTTTCTTCAGTTTGTAAGTGTATGTAAATCTGCAAGTACATCCAACACTCCTCTGCCTCCCAAACTGACAATGCTGCTGTCTAAATGTGCCACCTGTGCTCATTCTTGCAGAGTGGGGACACTCTAATACAGGAGGTGTGTTTACTGGTCAGATCACCAGGGGAAAACAAAGGGAAAAGGCTAAAATAGAAAACGAATGCAGCCACCACATCTACTGATTGGTAACTGTAATACATTACATTTTTGGTTTGGGGTTTAATACCTCTTTACTTTTCAGGGGGATTTAACCCTTCCTCACTCTATCTTGAATGTGCTTAAAGCAGAACTTCACTCTCTCAATCAACATTGACTATTTTGAATCCTTATGCTGCTAGAATTAGTAAATAGAAACGTATATCATATTTGCTTGCTTTAACTTTTTTTTTTTTTTTTTTTTTTACATTTCTTCAGTTACTTCGTGGTTTCCAGGCCTGGGCAAATAAGGATGTCATAGATCCCAGGAGTCTTCAGGAGGGGAGAAGGGGTTTTCTCAGCTAAGCACAGCCTCCTACCTGCATGCCTGAGCTAAGGGCAGATGCATTCCAGGAAGTAAATGCTACATGAATCATCTGCCCTTTCTCAAGATGGCCAGAAATTCTAGTGGAGTGTTTTTCAACGTGATTTTTCTGCAAAATAAAGCACAGAGATATGGATGGATGGGGGAGTTTGCTCTGGATAATAAAAATGAATGAAACCAGAACGTGCCCTCCTGCACGCCCCTGGTGATCTCTGTGATCGCTGTGTCCTAAGGACACAGCCGATCACGTGATGCAGTAAAAGGCCAATCACAGCGTCCTTTTACCACGTGATCAGCCGTGTCCAATGACACAGCAGATCAGTGGTAAATGCAGTTGGCGGTTATCAACTGCACTTTCCTCACACTGTCACAGCGTGAGGAAAGTACTGCCGATAACCGGCAATTGTCAGAGGACGGATCGGCTCTGACCATCAGTGCCACCCACCTGTGCCCATCAGTGCCTAGTAGTGCTGCCCAACAGTACTGCCAGTCAGTGCTGCCCATCAGTGCCGCCTATCAGTGCCCATCATTGTTGCATACCAGTGCAGCCTCATCAACGCGCATCAGTGAAGGAAAAAAATTACCTGTTTGCAAAATTTTATAATAGAAACAAAGACAACTTTTTTTTATTCCAAAATTTTTGCTCTTTTTTTTTTTTGTTTGTCACGCAAAACTAAAACACCCAGCAGTGAGTAAGTACCACCAAAAGAAAGCTCTATTTGTGTGAAAAAAATGATAAAAATTTCATATGGGTACAATGTTGCATGACTGCGCAATTGTCATTCAAAGTGCAACAGCACTGAAAGCTGAAAATTGGCCTGGGCACAAAGGGGGTAAAAGTACCCAGTAGGCAAGTGGTTAAAGTAGAACTATAGGCATTTCTCATTTTGGACAGAGCAAGGGAGGGTTATAACCCCGTCAGTTTGGTTTTTTTTTTGCTATCTGTGTTCCATTAGGGAGATTTACCTTCACTTCCTTTCCCATAGCCAAAACAAGATTTAGGAGGCAATCCCTGCAAATTAGGAGGAATCAATTTGGGGGCCCCCAGGTCACCAGAACTAGTGTCCCCTTTGGAAGATTTCCCCTCTATTACTTTTCTGGGGGCAACCCAAAATTGTGGTTTTCTTTTACTTTCACTTTCAATGATAATGGTAAACAGAACAAATAGAGGGGGTGAATTTCCCTAATGGGAGGACAGACCGCAATAAAAACCTGACAGAACCTGTGTTCTGATCCATCTCCATTCTATCAAAAACTTAAAAAAAAGGCTTTAGTTAAACCCATGTGATTTTTGCATGACCCGTGCTCATCCACTTGCTTTGTTTCTATGCACCTTGATTCCTGTGGTCCACTTGATGTGTCAACACCTGCAATGTTTTAGGGCTAGTTCACACTAGATGCAGTTCAGTGTGCTTTTTTTTTTCCGCATCGAAAATGCATGCACAGTGTTTTCCATGTATTCCAATGGCCCTGGTTCACACTAGTGCAGTCAGTTCCAGTCCGTTTCCGGTGCAGAAAAAAAGAACATGCTGCATTTGTTCTGCACAAAACCATACTGGCATGTGGTGTGAACTGTAATGCATCCGGAGTGCATTTTAGTAGTGTGAACTGTCCCTCAGGCTTGGTTCATATAGTTGTGCCACGGTAAGACGCATGTTGGTACGCTGTGATGCAATTCATTCCTAAATTGGTATTAAAACCCCAGCATCTTTTACCTTAAAGTGGTTGTAAACCCTTACAAATACCCAGTGACGTGACTATCCTCAGGTGATACACAGAGATGAAACAAATCCTCCTACATAAGTTGGTTTATCTGCAGTTTTCTCTTCTCTACAGCCATTCAAAGTGCAGAATTTAGAGCTGATTCACACATGTGCGGTGCAGATTGAAACTTAGGTTTCACAGCTAATTGATACAGTAGTTGTTCAGTGGTTCAGGTCAGGTTTACATCAGGTTCAGGACAGGATTAGGTCAGGATCTTATCTGTTCACACATATGCAGTTTAGAAACTATTCCCAGAGAAAAATAAATAAATAATAAAACCCTCTTAGTGTCCGTGAATCTTCCCAATTCTTTTTCTTCATTGTAATTATCCAAAAAGTATGGTCGATTTTCACCGTGTACCTTCAAAAAAATAAAAAAGACCTAAATAAATAATCAAAAGCCTTTTAGGATAATATCTTCCCGACCTACCAGTCACCAAACAGGAGCTGGGAGTTGCGGGTGACAGGAGGCCTCCCGTCATGCATCGCTTTATTGTGACTGGTAGGTCGGGGAGATAGGGGACAGCCGGACTGAAGGACCGGGCCAGCGGACATGAGACCCCTCAGGAGCTGCATGGCATAAGGAGATTCTTCTGTGTATTCCACACCTATTGTGAGTGGTAATCTATGGACGGCTCTGAGAAGCGTTTCCTCACATCATGCTTGAAGACATGGGATAGTCCGGTATCTTGCAGAGCGATTGTGGGATAATCTTGGAGAAATTTTTGGCATATCGGATTATTATCCTAAAGGCTTTTGATTATTTATTTAGGTCTTTTATATTTTTTTGGAGGTACACGGTGGAAATCGACCATACTTTTTGGATAATTACAATGAAGAAAAAGAATTGCGAAGATTCACTGACACTAAGAGGGTTTTATTTATTTTGGACTTTCAAGGGTAAAAGTGTGACTTTTTAAGTGTGAAGATATAGGGTATTGGTTTTCGTATATTAGTATATTTGGATATCGGTTTTGATTTTGTTTTGAGTTCTCAGAGAAGCCAATAGCCTATAATCCTGAGCCGGACTGCACTGCTCTGAAATCGGACATGACTCTTTTTAAAACTGCACTGAATCCGCACTGGCAGTGCATGGGACAGATGTGAAAAGGCACCATAGGAAGCAATGTCTTTTCACATGTCATGCGGATTGGATGCGGTTAAAACCACATCCAATCCACATATATGAGAATGGGCACTTATAAGTGTCTGAGAGTGGGAAAAAAAACCCCAAAGGGGTTGGATTGCTGAAATTACACTGCAGAGCTCAGTAAGGAGAGCTCTGAGAGCAGATTGGGGGGAAGGGACACACCCCCCTTCACACAGCTCACAGGAACAGATCTGAGACTGTCAATCTGCTGGAGGTCCCTCCCCATCACCATTTTTCTCTTGGTGTCTGGAAAACATATCAGAAGTGATTCATGCTGACAGCAGAAAGAAATGACAGTGCTCTGGATTAGGCACCATGAGTAGTAGCCTTGGGGTAAGTAAGTACTTTTTTTTTTTTTTTTTTTTTTTTTTTTACTTGTGCAAGCAGCTTTTTCAAAAGTTGTGTGGGGGAAGGACAAAAATGAATGAATGTGTCTGAAAAAATGACAGTTTGCTATGATTTGTGCTGTATGTACTTTTTCTTTTGTTTTGTTTTTTTAAACCTTGTTTTGTGGTAATTTATTTTCTGTCTGTATTCACAGATCAACAAAGTAGAGAAACCTGAATCCTGTGATAATGTGAAGGTTGTAGTACGATGTCGTCCATTGAACGACCGAGAGAAAGCCATGGGCAGCAAGATGGCTGTAAATGTGGATGAAATAAGGGGAACTATTGCTGTTCACAAAGTAGACTCTATGAACGAGCCCCCAAAGACTTTTACGTTTGACACAGTTTTTGGACCAGAAAGTAACCAGCTGGATGTTTACAATTTAACAGCCAGGCCGATTATTGACTCTGTGCTGGAAGGCTACAATGGTAAGACCACCAAAATGAGAAATATGTTATGAAAAAATAATGGGAAATGCTGCTTCAACGTAATACGTAACGTATTTATTTAACAACTTCCTGCCCGGCCAATAGCCGATTGACGGCTGGGTGGGGACTCTCCTCATTCTGAGTAGACCTCATATGCTGTCCTATCAGAAGGTGCCGCTCATGCAGCTGTGGGGCCGTGTAGCGGTGTGTTCTGTTACCGGCTGTGTCCACGGGACACAGCCGATGACAGATCACTACCCTGGCCTGCTGCCAGTGTCATGTGACCAATCACAGCAGATTACATGACAATTGTATACAATGAATGGCTTTCTTTCATGCCATCCTTTGTATACAATTGTGTTGTTAGCTGTGACACAGCAGACAGATGGTTCAGACGGCCAATCACCGCACATCTGTATCATGTGATGAGCTTTGCCCAATCACAGCTAATCACAAAAGTCTGAATGTATCGGTTTCATTCAGTAACAATGGTTGCTAATATCCATGAAATACATTGGTATTGGCAATCATAATGTGAAAAACAAAAATCTTGATCCTTTGCCCAGAGTAGTACAATGTTACTATGGTAACATTGTGTTGCTCTGGTCACAGTGTGTTGAAAAAAAAAAAATGGTAAAGAAAAAAATAATAGAAAAAAAGTATTCATACATAAATTAGTAAAGCGCTAAAAATAACTACATAAATTCATACTATAGTGCCATTTATAACTGCATAATAGTGTTCTGTATGTTTGAGTCATTTATCACAGAACACTATTATGCAGTTATAAATGGCACTATAGTATGAATTTATTTAGGTATTTTTAGCGCTTCACTAATTTACGTATGCATATTTATCACTTATTGGTTTAAGTCGAGTGACAGAAGCTATAATTATAGGGATCACATCCATATAAAGTGCAGGAGGATACTCCCATTTAGAAAAAAAAGTTTTATTATTTATTTTATTTTTTTTTACATACAGTCACCAGCCAGTGTCTCTGACCACTAACACTGGACTGGTAACTATATATATATATATATATATATATATATATATATATATATATATATATATATAAAATAGTGAATTTTTTTTCTTCGTTTTATTAAAAAAATTGTAACAAAAAAAAAAATTACAACTTCAAAAAACTTGGCATGCCTCTTACTAAATACCTTGGACTGTCTATTTTCCAAAAAAGGGTCAAATGTGGGTTATTTGTACCATCCTAGTGTTTTCAGGCCTCAATAAATGAGATTGGCCCTCAGGGTTGATCAATTTTCAGATATATATACACCATGGTTTGTGGACTCTCTAACTTTCCTACAGACTAAATAATATACACTAATTTTGGGAAATTTTCACCAGAGAAATGTAGCAAAAATCATTTTGACCTAAATTTATGAAGAGAGGTTTTTTTTATTTGCTTAATTTTATAACAAACACGTTTTGTTTTCAAAAGTTTCGGGTTGATTTTGTTTAGCAAAAAATAAAAAACTCAGCAGTGACTAAATACCACAAAAAAAAGCTCTATTTGTTTTAAAAAAAAAAAAAAAAAAAAATTTATGGGTACAGTGTTGCATGACCCCACAATTGTCATTCAAAGTGCAACAACACTGAAAGCTGAAAATTGGCTTTGGGCAGGAAGAGGGTAAAAGTGCCCGGTATTGAACTGGTTAACATTTTTGTTTAGAACTATACATTTTTAAAAATTCTGTTTTTTTAACCACTTGCCCTCCAGAGGATTTACCCCCCCCCCCCCCTCCTGACCAGGCCATTTTTTGCGTTACGGCACTGCTTTACTTTAACTGACAGTTACACGGTCATGCAACGCTATACCCAAATGAAATTTACATCCTTTTTATCCCACAAATAGAGCTTTCTTTCAGTGGTATTTGATCGCCTGTTTTATTTTTTGCACTATAAACAAAATAAGACAGACAATATTAAAAAAAAAAAAAAATTACCGTATTTTCCGGCGTATAAGACGACTGGGCGTATAAGACGACCCCCTACTTTTCCTGTGTAAATATAGGGTTTGGGCTATACTCGCCGTATAAGACTACCCCTCTTCCAACGCACACCAAATAAAAATTAAAAAACCTCAGATTTGATTTCAATATGGTATGGTGTTCCAATGATGGGGCACGACTCCTCCCACTGACACCAACGATGGGGCACGACTCCTCCCACTGACACCAACGATGGGGCACGACTCCTCCCACTGACACTGACACATGAAATGTGCATGTGATCGCTGTGACCACACACAGCTAGACACTACTATATACAATGGATGGCATGAATGAAGCCATCCATTGTAGACAACTGTCATGTGACCTGCTATGATTGGTCACAGCAGGTCACATGGTACCGGCAACGGGGCCGGTACTCGGATCTGTCATCGGCCGTGTTCGAGGTACACTACCGGTGACAGATCGCGGCTCTGCAAGCGTGCAAACTGCGCATGCCTGGGAGTACGCCATATGGTGTCCACCCGGAAATCTAAAGCATTTTTCCGGCCGCCAAACGGCTATTGGCCGGGTGGCTAATGGTTAAAAATCTAATTTCTTCATAAATTTAGACAGACAAAATGTCTTTGCTAAAAGAAAAAAAAAAAAATCCCAATATGTGTAAATTAATTGGTTTACGTGAACGTTATAGCGTCTACAAATGGCGATATATATACTGGAATTTCTATTTTAATTTTTTTTTTTATACTAGAAGGTGGCGATCAGCAACTTATAGTGGGACTGCGGTGCGCATTCTGACACTGGGGGGAACTAACTGCCACTGGGCAGGATGGGGTTAACATCTGGGGGCGATCAAAGGGTTAACTGTGTGCTGTATGTCTTTTACATTGTGCTATATGTCTTTTACATTGTGCTGTGTGTATTTTACTACAGAGACATGCTTCCTGTAATACTGAATGAGTCCAGTGTTTCCCCAGTTTTGCTACACTACAATCTATCATTGCTTCCTGGATGAAACAGACAGGGAGTAGAGATTTATAGCAACAACAGGATTTTTTTGGTGAAGTTATACTGTATACTGGCTGTAGATTTTTATTATCGGATGATTTCTAAGGTCTCATGCCCACTGGACATTTTTTCAGCTGCTCCTAGGGGGGGTGGGGGGTGGTGTGTGTGTGTGTGTGTGTGTGTGTGTGTGTTTTGTTTTTTTTTTCTTGTGCAGATGAAAGAAGTAACAGGATTGGATATTTTTTGAGAGAAGATTTTCAATTCATTTAGTAAATCAGCCTTCACAGAATTTAGCAAAATATTATGTCAGATTTATATCTTTCTTTTTTTTTTACATAAGGCCTTTTGATAGTGGTTGTCTTTTTATATACCTGAAAAGCAGTGGTATGACTACACTGCGGGCATACCATTTGCTGTAAAAAAAACACACACACAGCACAATTACAAAGCATGCTGATGTGCTTTACAATTGTTGTGCTCTTTGCTTCAGGACTTTCAACCTAGCGAAGTACTAGTGGTCATGTGACCTATCAAAGATTAAAGTAAATGTGAACCCCCACCTTGTAAAACAAACCATTCAATTTAAAATGGCAATGAAAGACCACACTTTTTATGTATAGATTATAAATAAACATGTCGTGTTTTTTTTTTTTTTTAATAAGCGTTCACATACTCTGTTGTCAGCTGCATAAGGATCTTAGAGAGCTGGAGGAGAAACAGCAGAATACTTATCTTCCCAGTAAGAGCCAGTTCACATATATGCGGATTGGATGCATTTTGAACTGCATCCAAATCGCATGACATGTGAAATAACATTGGTTTCTATTGTGCCTGTTCACATATTTGCGGTGAAACTGGAGTGCAGAATCAGTGCAGATTGAAAGAGTCCTGTCAGTTTTCTGAGCAGTGCGGTCTGGTTCAGGTGCGAATTCAGGCTCATTGACTTCTATAGGAACGCATCTGAATCACACATGACCTGATCTAAAACTGACCTGAACTGCTGAACTACTTTGTCAATTAGCTGTGAAAATGGAGCTTTAATTCTCTCCACAAATGTGTGAATCCACACTTAAAGTGATTTTAAAAGTTTATTTATTTATTTTTTTAATGGAAAAAATAACAAACATGTCTATACTTACCTGCTGTGGGCAGTGGTTTTGCACAGAGCAGCTTGGATCCTCCTCTTCTCGGGTCCACCACAGGCTCTCCTGGTCCCTCCTTCCTGTAAGGTGCCCCCACAGCAAGCAGCTTGCTATGGGGGCCCCTGCTGCTCCGTGTGTCCTTTGGCTTGGCCCCACCCCCTCTCTCCTCATTGGCTGGCTGACTGACTGTGATTGACAGCAGTGGGAGCCAATGGCTCCTGCTTGCTATCTCCGCTAATGAGGAGGCAGAGACCCGGGACAGCCCAGGCTGTTCACATCGCTGGATCACAATGAAGCTCAGGTAAGTATTGAGTGGGCTGGGGGAGCTGTTGCAGACAGGTTTTTTTACCTTCATACATCGAATTCATGAAGGTAAAAAAACCTTGAGCCTTTACAACCACTTTAATGATTGTGTGGGAGGGTGCCTGCTAGCACATGTCTGATCATTGGAGAAGAGCGGGCTGAGTTCTCAGAACAGCTAGTTAACTGACCACACTGTGCTCTCTTGCTTAGTGTGTAAGTTTTTTACAGGAAAGCAGAGGGACTGGCAGGAACACAAGGAATTTCATGCAAAGGAAGCAATACAAAGAGAAGAGGATACTTTTTCATACAAGTGCATGGTACAGCAGACACTTATCAAGAATATGAAATGCTGGGTTTACATAGTCTTTAAAAAAAAAAACTAATTTATGACTTCCTAAGGATCCCCACATCCACGCAGATGTCATAGGTCACTGTAGCCACTTTTGACTAAAAGGTTTTTTGGTATCAGCATATATCAGGAATATAACATTACATATTCTTTAAATGACCAACTGTCCTTCAGTCACAAAGCTTTGTCGGCTATATCATACTCCTGAAGCTTAGCTGGCTACAC